GTGGTGGTGCTCTGAGACCCACTGGAGCCAAGAGAGCTTCACACCAGACATCTGCACAAAGCCAACATCCTCCTGGCAAAGCACCCAGGGATGAGGCAGGGAACTGTCTGTTCATCCGTGTGACCCACTCCCTGCCAGGTCAGGCACCTGGTTTGACCTTGGGGTCATTGCCTGTTGATTCCTGATGCCTGTTTTTCCATCTAGAGCCCTGCCTGCAGCTACGGCAGGAAGATTTCTGACTGGGATAAGCACCTTGCTGCTGAAGCTCTGAGCACTGAGAGGCTCTGCAGGCACTCATCCTGCCATGCTCTGGGTGTCTGGGCTCCCACCTGCACTGCTCCAGCCAAAAAACTTTGGGGTTTTTTCTCCCTCCTCCAAGAGGGGACTGGTAACAGGTTTCTGACACACTCACAAAGCAGTGCTGTGCTTGGGCAGGGTCTAACAGCAGTTTTTCCTGCCAAATGGGCTGTTGTCTCCTTGTCATTTCTTTTTTCCTTTTCCTTTCCAAGATGCTGCTCTCTCTGGAGAGAAGTCTCCTTGTGCTCTTCTGTGCTGACCCCTTCAGAAATCCCCTGCCAGCTCTGATGGCCAAGACCTACAGCCTGCCCCCAGCCCCGTGGGAAGGATTCAGCCCTTGAGGCAGGAATGTCTGTGAAGAGTCACAGAATCCTGGGATGGGTTGTGTTGGAAGGGACCTTTAAAGGTCACCCACTTCCAAACTCCCTGCCATGGAAGGGACAGCTTCCACCAGACCAGGTTGCTCAGAGCTCAATCCTTGAACACTTCCAAGGGATACTGGCAGTGCTCCCCTGGTCCTGCAGCATGCCTGCTTCCCCCTGAGAGCCCTCACCCCTCTGCAAGGATGGGATTTATATCTCCTGTTAGTGGCTTCTTCAGGGCTTCTCCTGTGGAAGCTGCTAAAGGCAGGCTGGGACCAGTGGGGTGATGCTGGCTGCCCACAGGTGGAGGATCCTCTCTCCCTGGAGGTGCTGCAGAGCTGCCTCCAGCACCAGCACAAGCCCTGCTTGGAGCAGGAACTTCAGAGCTCCCTTTGCATCCCACACCTGCCTGTGGTGCTGCCAGAGTCTCACTGGGGTGCAACAAGCTGTAATTCCCTGTGGAATGGTGGGAATGGCTGGAAGCAGCTCCAGCACCGCCCTGCCCCAGCACCACAAAGCTGCCTGGGACATTGCTGCACATCCTGAGCATGGGGCAATTTGGGGATCCCAGGGCTTCCTGCTGTGCCAGGCCATAGGAAGCCAGGAGAACCGGGCCCCTCATCTGCCACCAAATGGATGGAAATGCATGGAGACCTGGATTTCCTCTGAGCTGCATCCCTGCCCTGTGTGGCAGCCAGCCCAGCCCTCAGCGGCCGCGCCAGGCCAGAGCTCAAGGTTGTCCCAGCAAGGCTGAGCAGAGGTCGTAACGGGAGGATGTTCAATTAAAGCTGCTTAAAAAAGAAATCCAACTTTCCATATGCCTCTCTGGAGAATCAAACAGCCCCAAAGCAGAGCGCAGATGGGGCGCCAGGCGGGGGCTGAGCACAGCCCCCATGCCAGAGGTGACTCCGGCTCAGCTGTTCCCACTGCTCCCATCCACGGGGATTGAGCCTGTCTTTTGGTGGTTCCTTATGGAAAGTTGCACATTTGGCTTAGCAGAAATCCCCATGCAAACTCGGACACTGGCCAGCCCTGTGACATTGCATCCTCCAGGCTATGCTTGTTTTCCACAATGCTCCCGCTCCCTCCAGGATCCCAGCAAGGCTGAAGGTGGCAAAACTGGTGCCTGGTTGGGGATGCCAGACTGGGACAGTGGCACTGGCACCATGGAAGGGCAAGGAGCCATCTCCCCTCTGCTGTTGGCCTCCACGCCAGTCTATCCAGTTAGAGAAACCCAAGTGTGCCCCACAGATGAGGAGGTTCCCCAGCTGGCACCTTCACCAGGAGGAATTTCCCTGGGTGAAGGAATGGAGGGTTCAGCCATCATTCAGGAGGAATTTCCCTGGGTGAAGGAATGGAAGGTTCAGCCATCATTCAGGAGGAATTTCTCTGGGTGTAGGAATGGAAGGTTCAGCCATCGTGTGACAGAGGTCTTGGGCAGCATGGTGGGAAGCTGGCCCTCGTGTCACTGTGCCACGTGTGCTGTCTCACTCACACAGCCACCTAGAATAGTGTCACCATCTGGTTCCAGCTGCCCAGGGACTCGAGGGCCTCCCTGGCTCCTTCTGCGATTGCAAAAGTGAATTCAAACATCAACTCAGCTGGACTCAGCTGGCCTTTATCCCTTTTTTTCTTCTTTTTTTATTAATTCAGGTTTGTCTCTTAGAGAAGAGAGAGGGAGATAATGTCTGCAGAGCATTTAATCTTCTGCCCAAAGAATAGCAGAGAGCAAATTAGGATCTACTCCAATTAATTTGCCTTGATGGGCAAAATCTGGAGAGCGGCCATATCTGGGAATTAAGAACAAAAAGCAGGGAGTGTAAAGTAGGTCACTGGAGTTTCATAACCAGAACAAGGGGTTTCCACAGCACGGTGCTCCAAAGGCTCCCGGTTCTGGGGTCCCCACTCTCATTCCCCACCATCCGCTCCTTTCAGCCTGCACAGCTGCTTTAAGGTGCTGTCAGTATGCAGGGAGCCAGTTCTGTGTTCTGGGGACAGGAACGGGGATGTTGTCCCTTCCCACAGCAGGACACAGCTGCAGGGCTGTCCCAAACCCTCAGACCCAATGGAAAGGCGACACTAGCTCAATGTCCCAGTGTGGAGCACCAGAGAGATTTCCTGGGGTCAGCATGCCCAGCCTTGCTGTCACACTGCTGCCCTCGGCCCTGCAGGCACCTCCCTGAAGGAGGATTGGGGTGACAGGTGGCACTAGGGTTTGCTGTGGACTCTTGCATGTGCAGTGTCACCAAGCAGTGGTGACCCACACTTTTCCATCATGCCCAAATCCCAGCCCTGGCTTCCCAGAGCCACCAGTGCCTGCAGGCCATGTGGTGACACTGTGACACCTTTCAGCTGCAAGACACACATGGAAGTGCAGCCAAAGGTGTGAGCCACGTGTGGTGACAAGTGCTGGTGCTCAGGACACGTGGTGACATGGCCAAGGGTCTGTGACATGTACAGTGACATTTTCCAGGACATGGGACCATTTGTGGTGTGTATTTCTGCACACAGGGTGAAACACCTTGTGGGTGTGGGTGGATCTTCCCAGGCTTTGATTCCGGCTGGATTGAAGCAGCATTTTGTTGTCTGCAAGTCACCATGGTGGTGGCAGCCTGTCACAGCACCACATTGGTGACACGTCCCCGGCCAGCTCCCCCTGCTCCGCTGCGCTCCCTCCGCTCGGAGGTGGCGGCCGGCGCCCGGCTGGCGTTGATCCTCTTAGCCACCCTGCCGGGATCCGCCACTAATTCACCCTTAAACACAGGATTGTCAGGAACGGGGAAGGGAAGAACCGGCAGATTATGCCCCTGGCGCTGGCGTTAAACACGGGGAGCGGCAGCTGCTGCGTGAGGAGAGCTGGGGTGGTGTCCTGCCCCGTGTCCCATGGGGCACCGGCCCGGGATCAGCATCTTCCCCCAGATGTTTTGTGTCCCCCGGGCCAGCTCCAGGCTGGTTAGTGAGATAAATAATGGGAATAAACACAGAGCCCCCCACACAGAGCTGAGGGATCGGCAGGAACCACTCAGCCCCATAGGATGAACCAGCAATACTGTTGGCGTTTCCTGGACCCAGAGCCTGGCAGAGGGCTGGGACTGCCAGGGTGACATCCCAGAGGTGACCAATCACCTGTTTAAGTTACCAGACCTCTCAGGAAAAGGTTTTATGGTGAAACAAGCAATATTTTTCCCTGGCTCGATGAGGACAGTGATTACTGAGATCCTCGCTCACATGCTGAAGGCTTTCAGCCACAGAACAGCGTGGCAAAAGCTTCTCCAGGCCAAAACCAGCTTCTGGAATGTTTTTGGGATGGCCTTGAAGTCATGGAAATCACAGAAATAACAGCAACTTGCTACTCACAGCACATAGGAGCTCACGGCTCCTGCTCTCTGCTGAGCCTGGAGCGATCCTCAGAGTGGTGGTGCTTGTGGTGGATTTTGTTGCCTTTCCCAAGTGGGATGGTTTCCCACATGCCAGCCAGATGTACCCACCAGGGCTGCTGGGGGCTGGGGGCCACACCAGCAAGGAGCTCCTGACCTGTGCCCCAGCTGGGGTGGCCCATCTGCAATTCCTGAGGCCCTTTAGGTAATGGGCGGGGAATGAAGGCTCTGCCCAGGAGAGTGGGGAGGACGCCTCACCAGCCCAGGCCTAGGGGAGCTGCTTTGCACTCTGGGCTTTAGTAGCTGGGAAAACTATCCTAACTTTTCAGCATAACAGTGACAGGGATGGGAATTAGAGCATCTTCCACTCATAGATTCAAGTTTAGCCAAGTTAAATGCCCACAAATCATCTTGGTTTAACTTCAAGTTCCCTGTGAACCTGGATGAGATTTCCAGTTCCCCAGCTTTTATACCTTCATCATCTTGGTATAAAAAACAAAAAAGGCCTCTCTCTCCCCTGCAAACCATACTTTTCTTCATGACTATGAATACAGCAAGACCAAAATAAAAGGTGTGGAAAATGGAAAATGTCACTGGAGTTGTCCATCAGAGGACAAGCTGTTGGCTGCCAAAAAGACAAAGAAATCTGCACCCTGTGTTTTCCTGAGGTGCTCTTTAAAAGGAATAAAACATTTGACCCAACTCTAAAGGGAATATCGGCTAGGCCCAGCCCTGAAAAGCAGCAGCCAGGGAGCACCAGTGGGAATTGTCCCCTCCTGGGGCTGTCCATGGTCCCATGGACTCCCTGGCATAGCCATGGGCAATACACTGGAGGAATGGAGTCCCAGACCCTCCCACTGACCCTTCCAGGGGACAGGTGCAGGGAGCATCTCCTCTCCAGTCCCCAGAGCAAACACAGAGCTTGGGAGGGGCTCAAGGGGCATCCCATGGCAGAGAGACAGGAGAAATGTAAAAGTGTCTTTTAATATAAATATAAATCCATCTGAAGTGCTGCAGGAGTGACCGTGCCCCGCGAGGGATGCCCGGGAGGGAGGCGGGGACCGGCGGGCAGCCGGGGGAACGGGCCCGGCCTCACCTGGGCACCCGAGGGCGAGCGGGGCTACAGCCGGGGCAGCAGCAGCGCCAGCAGCGCCAGCGGGGCCAGCGGGTCAAGCGGGTGAGGGCGCAGGGCGGCGGCCGAGCCCCGCAGCGTGGCCTGGTTGGTCTCGGAGGCCGGCGAGCTCTGGGCGCTGGCCAGGCGGCCCCGGGCGCTGCACAGCTCCTGCAGGTTCCCCTGGAACTGGATCTTGCGGGACTCCTGGCGCAGCGACTCCCACACGGTGGCCGCTTCCACGGGGCACCGCGACAGCACCTCGCTGGCACAGGTGTGGAAATCATCCCAGGACCTGCGGAGGAGGGCGGCGGTCGGGGCGATGCTGGCGGCGGTGACCCCACCGTCCCAGCGGCTCCCACACGGACACTCACTTGCAGATGGCGTCCAGCTCCTGCGCCTCGTCGCCGCCCTCCTCCTGCTGCTGCTGCCGGACGCTCTGGGCCATGCTCTCCCCCAGGCTCAGCAGGCATTCGGCGAAGCCCTTGTAGATGGTGTCGCACTGTCCCGCCATGCTGACGGGCTCCTGGCTCGCGGCTGCGGGGCACAGAGAGGAGACACCGAGCTGAGCCCCCGCCGAGCCCCGACAGCCCTCGGCTCAGGGGTGAGTGTGAGCGTGTCACCGGCCGGGGGTGACACCGGGCTCTGAAATGCGCCGAGAGGTTTCCACATCCCCCCGACAGTGCCATCCCTCCCTGGGCACTGTAGTGACCCTTCGCTCCCGGCCCGGGGCCCCGGCGCGATGTGATGGCCCCGCAGCGGTGCTGCCATTCACCTCGGGCCTCCCCGGCTCTCCCCAGAGCCATCTGTCCCGGCCTTTATCCCCTGACAGCAAAGATTAATTTGTGACTACAACGGAAAAAAACAAAGCAAAGGCTCAGCAAGCTGGAGTCCCTGCTCTGACTGCAGTGGGAAAGAGAGGGAAAGTGGAAAACAAAGGGGAAGGGGGAAAGAGAAGGGGAAAGTGGGAAAGAGAAAGGGGAAGGGGAAGGGGAAAGGAAAAGGAAAGTGGAAAAGGAAGGGAAGAAGAAAGGTGGGAAGGGGAAGAGGGAAGAGAAAGACGGAAGGGGAAAGGTGAACAGGAAAGGGGAAAGGATAAAGAGAAAAGGGGAAGGGAAAACAGAGAGGGGAAGTGGGGAAGAGAAAGAAGAAGAAAAAGTACAAAAGGAAAAGGCACAAGTGCAGGTCTGGCTGCTCCATTCTGAGAAGCCCCTGCTCTGCTCCACAAACAATTCCCCGCTGGCGCTGGCCAAGCCCTGGTGCTGGACATGGGACAAAGGTGACAGGTGTGTTCATGAGGACTGCCAGTGCATCCACAACCAGTGGGAAGCCCAAAAGGAGCTGGTATGTGACTGGGTCACAGAGAAAACCTGCATGGTCCTCAGCTCTGCCCCAGAGGTCCTGTAGGCCAGAAGATGTGGGGTCCCTGTGCCAATTCACAGGAGTTACAGTTTTGGAAGTGACAAGGATGTGCACCAGGGAGGTTTCTAATTGACGAGAGCCCTACAGGGGACCCCTGTGGAAAGGTGACCCCAGAAACAGCTGAAAGTTTCCTGGTGACGGCTGAGGCAGCTGGGATGTCTCCAGGAAGCCCTGTGCCTTGCTGTTAGCACCCCACACCTGCACCCCTGGAACAGGGTCCTGAGCAAAGTCGAGACTAACACCAGGGTGAGCTTGACACCATCACAGGGCATTTTAGGTGTTTGCAATGAGAACCTGAGCACAGCACCGAGGAAAGCCTCGGACTGATGCCAGACACGTGGGTCACAAACATCGCAGGTATCAGCAGAGAACGTGGGATCCACTGCTCCTCTTTTCACCCAGCCAGGCACAAGCCTGCCTCCCACCAGCCCGAGGACCCAGCCGCTGGCAGGGCCAGATGAAGCCTCGCTTCAGCCTCTCCCTGCTGCAGGCTGAGGTTTCCCCTCCCGGGCTCCTCTGAGATCCGGCACAAGCCCTTCCCTCTGCTCAGCTCCCTCGGCACAAGGCTGGGCAGGGCGAGCAAATGAGAAAGCAGGAGAGCAAATCACCTCCGCTGCTCCGCTGCAAAACCGTGGGGAAAAACCTGCCCCCGGCTCCGTCAGGGAGAAAGCCCAAGGGAAAAGCACGGGGGAAGTTTCCCAGGGCGCTGCAGAGCATCCCGAGCTCCCCAGCGAGTGCAGCCATCCTGCTCCTGGGGAAGGGCTGGAGTCTGCCACCCTCTGAGCCTAAAATCCGCCAGGGGTTTGGTGGTCCCTGTCCTTCATCGTCCGTGCAGCCGGGCCAGGTTAATCCCAGGCTCCCCATCTCTCCTCAGAGCAGGGATGTCCCTGGGTACCGCTGTGCGCCGCATCCTCTCGGCGCTCGGAGGAGCGGGAGTGCGGATGGGACACGCTGGTGCCAGCGAGGCGCAGGACCTGCCGGGTGACATCCCCCAGCGATCAGGATGGCTCCGGCCCCGCTGAACGAGGGCAGCCTGGAAAGCCAGCAGGTGCTGGGGTGAGCACGCAGAGCTGGAGAGCCAGAGCTCGGGAACCGTCCCCGCCTGCCGGAGCAGAGACACCCCGGACAGCGCCGCGAAGCCGCGTTCCTCCTTGCCCGGCATCTCAGACACAGGACAAGAATGGATGGATCGCTGAGCCGAGGGGCAACCGGGCAGCCCGCTCCCCGCAGCTACAGAGGGAGCGGGACGCGGCCGGGGTCCCGCTGCCTCCCGCCCGCCCCCAGCCCGGCGGGGAGAGCCCGGGGTGTCGGTCCCCAGGCCGGCCCGGAGCGGCCCCGCGGCACTCACCGAGGTGCAGGAGCAGCGGGCTCAGGACGCCCAGCAGCCGCCAGCAGCCGCCGCCCATGGTGCGGACCCCGCGCCGCCGCCGCCGAGTGCTCCGCGCCCGCCGCCGCCGGCAGCCCCGGCCCCGCCGCCCGCCCCCGGCCCGCCGGCACCGCCCCGGCCCGGCCCCCGAGGGGCGGAGAGACCCCGGGGCTGCACCCCGGCCCCTGCCGTCCACGGAATCACAGAATGGTTTGGGTTGGACGGGACCGTGCAAACCATCTCGGTCCGACCCGGCAGGGACCCCTTCCAGCCCTATGCAACCCGGTCTTGTGAACGTTTCTAGGGATGGGGCATCCACAGCTTCTCTGGGCAACCGGCAGCCCACTGTCCTCACAGGGAAGAAATTTTTCCTAATATCCAATCTTATCCTGCCTTCTGTGAAGCCATTCACCCTTGCCCTGTCACTCTATGCCCTCGTCCAAAGCCCTTCTCCAGTTCTATTGGAGCTCCTGTATATATTGGGAAGGTGCTGTAAGATCTTCCCAGAGCCTCCTCTTCTCCAGGAAGGAGGAGCAGCCAGAGACATGTTTGCTGTGAAAAGGGGAATTAATGTCCTCTTCCCGCAGCCATCACCTCCTGCCCCTCCCAGGAAGCAGAGACCACTATGCCCTGCTGGACTTACACAGAAAAGGTTGAGCAGAGACTCAGGAAAAAATCTGGAAAGACAGAGGTGACAGTGGCCCATCACCTCAGGCTCCAGCCTGGAGATAGTTTGATATCCTAAAAGACTCCTCAGTCTTCCCTCCATCACACAACAGAAGAAGGTCTCCATGTGTTTTTTCTCAAAAAGTTTTTTATTGAATTGTTCTCAATGTTATTTCCAAAAAAAAAAAAAAACCAAAAAAGAAAAAAAAAAGAACAACAAAACCCCCCAAAACTTCAAAATTTAGATAAAAAGAAAAACCTCGGTGTAAAATCAAAACTAATGTCTGAAACATGGACATGCTCCAATGCACAACAGAACCGTGGCCCCCCAGGGCTCCTGCAGTTTGCTGCTGCCTCAGCACCCTGACCCAGAGCCCCTCCCCAGGGCACTCCAGAGGTATCAGCCCTGCCCAAACCTGCCTCATGTGCCAGGTGGGCCGGGCACTCCGCTGTGGATCTGGAATTAACGAACCGCGGAGCAACTAACTAATTAATGAATTCTATCTAACCCCTCTCGCTCAGCTGACCTCCTCCCTGTGCCTGCAGCCTGCCAGGGAGGAGGGGTTTGAGCCCTTCCCGAAGGTGTGGGTACAGGTTTGTGGCCAGCGAGGAGCAGCCCTGGGCTCAGCACACGCCTCGCTGCTCCCGTGCTGACCCAAACTTTTAAAGGGCCAAGGAATCCATCGGCTTCTGCTGCACGAGACATGGACTGCCAGCCAGCCTTGGGGACGGATGGGCAGGTGAAGAAGAGATTTAACTCTCAAAAAAGAGGCTGTTTAGGAAAAATAAGCCAAGTGAATGTTCAGTGACTATTTGGAACTATACACAGATGGTGTTCGCCTTAGAGACATCACACACGCGTCGATGATTTCCTGGCAAGAGCTCTCGACACCAGCCAGGCGCCGTTAGTAACTAGAGATCTGCAGGGTGGGCTCGGGTGGAGCAGCCCCCCAGGCAGGCAGGCAGCTGCTCCTAGGTCATGCCAGGGGTGACCAGGCCCTGCAGCATGATCATGAGGCGACGCGCAGGCTTGCTCAGAGGGTTGTGGGGTTCCACCTGGAGGAACTGGAAGAGCTTCTGCCGCACCTGGTTCATGACTGACCCCATGTGGTCTCGGGTGATGGGGTCGCTTTGGTCAAGGTGCATCACTGCATCCTCCAAGTAGCTGAAGGAAAGAGAGAGAGGTTAGGACCAAACCCAGAATATGATCCCAATCCCATTCAGTTCGTGTTAGTGCTGAAGATACAGTTTTGCTCCCTGCTCCACCCAAACTCTGCAGTATGTTCAGCTGTCACGAAATCAATGTTCCTGACTCACAGCACAGTCCACCTATCCCTTCCTAAACATGTGAGGTCAGCCTACAGCTCCCAGCCTGCCCACCTGCCCCACAACCTGGCTGCTGGAACCAAGGCAGAGGCAGCAGCCAGTAAGAACTCCCCACAGTGCTGGAAGTGACTCTCAGTAGATATTTTCTTAAATAACTTTAAACAAAATTAGTCACTCATTAGACAGTAAAACCCTTCAGCAGTGAGGCTCAATTTGTGTAGGGTTACAATAAAATCCATCAGGAAGGGGTGGGATAAGATCAAAACTTTTACCAACAAGATACTCTGAAGTTCAGATGAGCCATCAGCTTTTAAACCACAGCCTGAGTAAGGCAATGTGGTCACTGCAGGTTTTCAAAAACAATCCAGTTTAAACTTTACAGCAGCAGCTTTTACCCCAATGACTAGCCTATAACTTGAAGGTCTTTTCAGTTTTTCTAGCTTTGCTTATCCTTATTGAGTTAAAAACTCAATTTAAGTAATTTTTCCATACCAGCCATAGTCAAAACCTGTAGGTATCTTAACAATTCAGCTTTTAAGGGCAGATAGCAGGGTTTTGACTCAGACACTAAAAATGTTCATGGCAAGTATCAGTACAGTCACTATTTTGTCACAGAGGCTTTGCTTGGAACATCTACCAGAAATGATACCAGTAGCTCCTGCTGCAGCCTCCCACTGAGCCTTTCTGACAGTCACGACAAGAAATTGCTGACACAAAGTCCAGTGATGGGTTAGGAGTTGAGGACAGAGCAAACTTGCCCTGGACACTGTACTGTCCAAGGAACACGGCACTGTCCCTTCTTCTGCCTCCACAAGGAAATCATTCCTTGGGGAATGGGGAATGCTGCACAGGCTGCAAATATTTACAGGTTACAATTACAGAGGTACCAGCACCTACTGCTGGGCTCTCCTACTACCTCAGGGCAGCAAAGCTTTCTGTGGCAGTGCTGACATATTTTTTCTGAGTTACATTGGCTTTAAACATGCCAGTAACAGGCTACAGAAACTCCAACTTTTGTCAGAGTTCTACCTTCCACTTCTAGGCACTGAATTTAAAGCCAGGGCTAAGAACAGAACCCAGTTCACCGGTCATACTCACTTCAACTTCAGTTCTGTACGAGTGCCCAGATCTGAGGAGAGCTGCTGAATGAGGGAGAGCAGCACAGGCTGGGACAGTGGGCATGGATGCTGTCCAAATACTTGCTGAGTATCCACAGTCTCACAGACATAGAGAACCAGGTTGAGATCAGCTGCTGTTAGAGCCTGCAAAGAAGACACAGCTAGAAATGCACAGGAACCAACAGGCAGGTAAGGGACACAGGACAGAGTGACAGCTCTGGGATGCTCAGTGGCTCAACAGCCTCTTCTGGGAGCAAAAATCTCTGCACCTCTGTTGTACAGGCCAGCAGGGCCACCTTTAGGCTCCTGCTCTGTGCTCTGAGGACACCTGTGTCTATTCCAAGCTGAACAGAGCACAATCACACAGAGAGGAGCAGGTTACTGTCAGCAGCATGGAGCAGGGCCAGCACTGCTATCACTCCCAGAAGAGTTTGTCTGCAGCAGCTCAAAGGGATCTGCCTGCATGCTCAAAGTCAAAGGCAAGGTCAGGCCCCAGCTGGTGGATGTGCCTGGAGAGGCTTACGAAGCTGTGTGTGCCACGTGTCAGTGCCAACGGCAGAACACACTGGAGCACTGACACTGTCCTGGCAGGACATGGGCAGCGGTGAAGGAACTTAACTGCTACCAAATCATGGAACCTGCATGGCTCTGGCTCCACCTGCACCCCTCAAGCACTCCACTGCCACAGGTCTTTTAAGTCAACTCCTGTGTAAGCTGTTGTGACATTATGTGCCCACCCCAAGGATTTTTTTTCCTCTCAATCCCCAATACAGTGCATGACTACCAGGAAAACTGGGTACCTGCTGGAAAGCCTGGTTGAGGTGTCCCTGCTGGAGCAGCTGAAGGATGTGAGTCTGCTGGGACTGGAAGTCCATGTGAGTAGAGGGGATGGGTGTCCCGGCTGCCGAGCGCATGGCCTGGACAATGCTGGAGGTGACAGCCGCCTGCTGCTCCTTCATGGCCAGGCTCACCTCTCCTTTAATGACTCTCTGCACCTGGGCCAAAATAGACTCCTGCATGCTGAAAAAAACAAAACAGAACCCATAGGCACCTCTGAGAATGAAGAGCTCAGGGATAACACTGCAAAAAGCTTATACCAGTGAGAAAACACAGGCTGCTTTGCTTTTTGTAGTGGGGCTCCCTAAGGGTTCATACAAACAGATCTGAGGCACAGGCAACTCTGTGGCCAACACCACAACATCCCAGCGTGTACTTGGAAGATGCTGGGATTCTGTGCAGGAAAGTGACATTTCAGGGAACTAAGTCTCATCAAACAGTGTTTTAAATCTTTAATGTCTCTGGCTTACAAGCAAGGAGACTAAGCTGTGGGGTTATCCCCAAATGGGGCCAGCTTCCTGCAGGAGATCTGTCAGATGCAGCTCCTTGTGTGCACATGTCACCTTTAAAATGAGAACACACTTACAGTGTGCCTGTGGCTTCTCCACACAAGAGGATTTCACAGTGCAGACTTTGCTGCTCTGTGTGACACCTCTTCCCTCAAGGGCTGGATTCTCCCCTCTCACAAAGGGTATAAAGCATCAAACCTGCTCTACCACAGATAGAAAAGCAGGGCTTCTTTGGGAACAAGCACAGCCTATGTAACAAGACCAGGATTTAGCCTGTGGCCTTCCTGGCAACTCTGGCCTGCACTGAAGACCCCAGTGTGTTCTGACATTTGTTCTAAAATACAGGGTTGTTCTGCCCCACAGGTGACCACCAGCCAATCCCAATGCCTGGCAATCTGCCACTGCCTCACAGTGTGAATGTGCTGGAGGCACTGCTGGGATCCTATCCTGAAACCAGGAGGGCAAAGCACAAACTGCTGCAGAGCAGCTGTGGGGAGAGAGAGTAGCCTGTAGAGACTGTATGCCTGAGGACACTGAGTAAAGACAAGACTCCTCTGAAATGATCTTCAGGAAGTGCTCAGATATGAGTCTGTTTAATGGGGCCTTTGATCCTTCTGTTCTCCACTG